GTTTACCATCATCCCTGCTCCTGCCTAAAAACCTTCATCACTTAGCTTGCATTGGCATAGAAATTCACCAGACACTTTTATGAGCAGGAAAGGAGGGGAGAAGGAACAAGACTCACCCTTTCAGCAGCATTAAGCTTTACCATACAAAGTCTACTTTGCTATGCCTTTAGAAGACTGTATTCTCAAAAAAGAAGCTTTTTAGCAGAACAGAAACAAATAAAAAACATTAAAAAGTTTTTAAATAAATAGAGAAATACTCCATTGTAAACTATTTTTCCATACAAAGGAAGCCACTTCCTATTCCCTTTACATCTTTGCAAAGTAATCAGATCAAATCCTATTGCCACCTGAGAAAAAATTCCCCCATGTCCCAAGCACATCGCATGAAAACTTCTGTTATTTTGTAACAGGAAATGGAGGAATTACAATGGGCTTATTTGGAATACAAAGAACATGGAACCCCTGGTGTAGAGAAAAAAGGGTTAAATGCTGCTTAGATATAGCCAGACAGTATAACTAGATATTTCTACTGTAATAGAGCTGTATGAACAGATACTTCATGGCTTTCATACCCAGGAAAAATAAAAGTATACACTGATTCTAAACATTGCAGGGTAAGACAATAAAAAAAAAAAATCAACAAATTATCATCTGAAGCTACTGACTTTTTAAGCAAGTGAAAATTTGTTCTTAAATATAATGTACCCTCAATACCTTACATAAAAATTTGCATTACAGTTTAATAAATGCAACGTTTAGAACATTTTTCACAGCATATTCTTGCTTTTACTCCAACTCTTCTCCCATACTTTGCCCATGTAACCTTAAACAAAACAGAAACATGTAAACAAGCTTTAACAGTATGCAAATAGACCCAACTGATATCTTTAAATACATAGTCCTGAGAACTCTACTCTGTAAACCCCAGTTATGCTGATGATGAGTACAAGCCAGACACAAATCATCCATGGGTAACTTAACATCCCTTGAAAAGGAACTCCTGCCTGAACTCAGACAGGATCTCGTGTCAGAGCAGAGGTGAGTTTTTGATCTCAGAGTGGAGTTCTACCATACTACATCCTCCTGTCTGAGCCATCTGCAATGCCACTACAAGGTTTTGTTCCTATAAGCACTGTTTGTGGTACCGTTGACCCTGAAAAATCGGATCTCTATTAGTGAAGAATGAAAACTTGAAGTATTTTCTTTTACTTCTGCCTTAAAATACAGCTTTAAATCTACTTATATGCGTAATATGCAATATGTAATTATTGTCTTATTCAAAATGGCTCAGGATTATTAAAAAGAAACATATTTGGAATTTCCATGCAGTAGGATTTTCAATTTCTTGTTAGTACCACTCGTTTTACAAATGTTTTCTTTCAAGAACTACAGACTTAAAAAAAAATAATATATTTATGTGTATCTTGGAAAGAATCTGGCATACAGGCATCCAGAAGTTCTGCTTTGACCGTGGTTTTTGATACCCATATACTGAACAGGTCAGACTTGGTACAACTTTATTCATATGGTCCACTTGTTTTTCAAGTTTATCTATAAAAAAGTAGATGCTTAGCTACAGTTTATTAAAAAAACAGTTAAGACTTCAAAAGAGCTCTAGTGTTTTTCATATTAGAACCGCTGAAGTTAATAAAGTTTCAGAGTTCTAGATATACTTTAAGGACCAGGGCCTGCAAATAAAAGCATATAAAATAAGTGGAGAAAAATATATTGAAAAACATATCAATATTGTATAAATCACTATTTTTAGCTATTCTATTACTTCAGATTTCTTGTATAACATTTAAAAATCATTCCTGAGAAGAGATGTCTCGACTCTCATGACATATATTTAACAAAATCTATTCATGGAAATCTTCCATCTGTTCTGAAATGAGTAAGAATGTTATTATAATTGTTTTAGATCTATATGGAGACAAATGACAGACCAACTGCTGTAATGGAATTTTTAATGAAACATGCACATTTCTGGCTGATTTGGCATACTTCTGTGATCTATGGACTGATTTTTTGAAAAAGATGAAAATTCCTTAGATCTGTCTTAACCTTCTAGCTAGCATTATCCTATTCTGTACTGATCTGTAAACGTTTACACTCAGAAAAGTTGTATGTTGTTAGCGGTAGATGTACTTTATTTCAGAAATGCTTTGTCCGTTCTGTAAGACAGAGAGGTGTCTACATTGATAAAAGTCTTAATAATAGATAATGCCTCCCTAAAAATATACTCTAAAGCTTAGGGTAGATGTTCTGATACCTTCTGATATTTTATTCTGCATCTCACCCAACCCTATTAATTTAAATATCATTATTCACTGGAATCATGAAGAATACCTCTAGATTAGAAAACTGGGGCCTGATCTTCAGAAGAACTTCAGTTTGGGCAACTAAATGGCAAGATTTAGGGAGTATTTAGTATTCTGTAGCTTACATGAACAAACAGAAGCTGAACTCTTCAAACTTTTGCTACTGAAGTTAGCATGAGACATTTTCTTTCACACAACCTTTAAAGGTCCAGGTCTGAACCTTTTGAAAAGATAAAAACAGAAAAATGAAACCCACAAGTACTCAACTGTGAATTGCTTCATTTTCTAATGTTTGTTCAAATATTGATAGGAAGGGTGTGTAGAAGAGGCGGTGGGGAGTTGAGAAGGGCTGCAAGCTATCCTTTCCTGAGCTTTTACAGCTTCCAAACTGAGCTGTGCCAAATAACCAGCGGCATATCCATAGCTAACACAATTTGGATTAGAAATTAATCAGATACCAGAGTTCAAAATGTGTTCTCTTTGTTCCTTTTTCTCTTTACAAAAAAACCACACTATTTTTAAGAACACACAGTTGAGACCACAGAATAGCAAAGTTCTTATTTCATATATTTCTCTTCACTCAGGGTTATTTAGTCTTTGAAAGCACAAAGCCTTTTAACTAAATGGCTATATTTCCTTAGTATTTAGATCTTTTTGCAACTGAGAAGACTTTGATTTGGTATTTCAACTGGTGTTGACCTTATAGACCCACCTGGATCACCAGAAGAACCTCATTTCACATCAGCTGACATGTTGCTGCATTATATACATGTAAGCCCTGGTCACGCAAACACCTATTCATATATTTCACTCCAATACACAGAGAGTTCCATTGAAGCCACTTGGTCACCTGACATTATAATATGGACAGATGTTCAGTATAAGCCAAAAAAGCAATGGAGTTTTTGTTGTCCTATGTATACTAAAGACATAACTGACTGATTTCACAAAGCACAGACAGAGAAGTGTATGTTTAATGCTAATTCCCTGCATGATAATTTTGCTACTTAATTCTGAGAAAATTCGTATCTAAAATTATCTTAGCCATCTATGTTTCTATAGCATTCTGTCATTTCTGCACACACACCAATTAGCTAATTTGCCTGCTGTTGGAAACCTTGTTAGTCTGGCCCCAATAAAATCAACAGGAAAAATCCTATTAATTGGACACCATGTCATCCACTGTCTCATAAGCTCCTTGTAAAAACAAAAACAAAAATTTGCCTATTACTCCATCAACAGCTCATAGCTTACAGTTTATCATGCTGGAAAACTTCTGTGGCTTGGAGCTGACATCTGCTGCATCTGCTTCTGTACATGGCTTCTTCTGGCACACACAGGAGACAGCTGGCAGCAGTAGCATCTTAAGATGCACAGATTTACCTGAACTTCACAGACAGACCCGTGTAACATATAAGCTAACATCCCTTCAGAATGTACACAATGAACAGGATTCATTTAGAACACATTAACAATAACGTACAGCTAAGGTTATCTCCACACTTCTCTGAAACCTTTTCTAAAACTTTAAGTATTCTAGGCATTCTCCCTGTCTTGAATAAAAAGAATTGGGAAGGGAAGAAAAAGTTATCTAGTGGCTTTCAAAAGAAAAAATAAATTCACATCCTTCAAACACATAGCAGTAATAGAAATCACCAATAAAATTCTCAGCTTCACAGAAATAACTGAGCCTTTCCCTTCCTGATGATTATTGTCATTGTTGGTCTCAGGAACATAGAGCAGTTTTATGGCTCTAAGCAGCTAAAAACCAATAAGAGGTCAGGGCCCCTTTCAAAACCTTTGACCTGGCAGTAATTTCACTGGTTTCACTCATTTTTTTCCTGTGACAGACTGTTAAGACCAAGTTTCATGTAAGGTGTTTATGCCTACCCAAGGAATGTGAGACAGTGACATTTGTTCCTGCCTCTGCACACTTTTGTATTAGAGCATGTATAATATCAATCTGTCACAGTTTTAAAAAGCTACAAATATCATGCAACCCTTATAGCTGTAACCTTGTATAACTCTCAGAGCTGTAAGCTTTAACAATAGAAAAATTTACTGTGATGTAAAACACAATGTTATCACACTTTCAGTTGTGTGGTTTTTAATGCAAGCCTGCTTTTTCATAACAATTTCAGATTCACAGCCTGACTGCCTGTGCCCAAAAGTCAGAGGGCGATTTTCTTTAAATGTAAGCTTTGAGCTCTGTCATTCCATTCAAGTGTCTGCTGCCCCAGTGACCTCCATTTTCATTTATTACTTTCCAAAAAAAACCAATGAGGCTCTTCTTGAGAGGTTATTTAGCTTATCCCTCAGCTTCAAGGCAGAATTAACTACATTTAAACCATTCCTAACAGATGTTTGTCTAACCCATTCTTGAATATCACCACTAGTGGAGACTGCAGTGTCTCCCCAGGCATTCTGTTCTAATAATTCATTATTCAACCCTTTAAAAGTTTTTCCTAATGTCTAACGTAAATGTTCACTGCTGTAATTTAAGCTCATTACTTCTTGCACTCTTCATAGAAGACCTAGAGCAAATTTACTTTCTTCATCTTTTACACTTTTGAACTCTTACCACAACAGATCTGTTTTATACAGACTTATCAACCCCAATTTTATAATCTAAGAAAAAGCAAACACAATTTTAGATAAGAAAACATAGCAAGGCTGATATATTTAGAAAAAACAAGTAGGTCCCATTTTGGGCCTACTATCTTTATATCTATGATCATATACAGTAAAACATTTCAACAATGGTCATTTATCATGTTCCTCAAGAGAACCAATAAAATGCAATGAATACACATCCTCTGATGTTGCACAGATACAAAATGTATAGTTTGTTTACAAACTAATATTACTCAATGTAAAATGAAGCAACATTTTAAAAAAATATATTGGTAAAGGTCCAAAGTTTACATTTTCTAAAATATTAAGTTCATGTTTTATTTACAGACCAGCTTTCAAACAATTATTGGCATTTTAAGATAACTGCTTAACCTGATGAGTACATGAATAAAATGAAGCTGTAAAAAAACCCAATCAAACAAAAAACCAATAATCCAAGTTCCATACAACAGTTCCAAAAATGCTATTTTCAATTTCTATTAGAAAAGCAAGATGTGATCTACCACACAGTAACTTACCAGAAACTGGTCTAACACTTTCATATGCTATAGGTATCGCAAGTGACCAATGTTATCCAACCACATGCGCAAGAGTGCATTTTTTTTTTCCCATTCCAACTTCAAATGAAGTTTTGACAACAGTTGTAGTATTTACAAATTTAAAATAAAGGCTCGACATCCCTTTGGATTACATTAAAGATTACATCCAAAGACCACGTATTTTGTTGACTCTGAGTTAACAGTTAAATTAGCAGCATCTACCCCAGCTTGTCTGAAAAAAAAATAGGCAACTCTAAGTAACAGACTATTAGCGAACACTGATTCTGGATCAATTATGACTGAAATTACACACTGAAGTGCTCCCTCTTGCTGAGAGGTGTTGTGCCAGAAGGCAGAAGCTTTTAAACTTGAACAGGATCTATTAGCTGGTGTGAGCAGCCACGACACAAACGCCACCCTGAACACTGTGGGCAGGCATGTGACAGCCCGTGGCCGTGCTCTGCAGCTGCAGAGGTCCGGCAGTGACACCTGGTCACTGGCCAGCGCAGCTAATCCTCCTGTGCTGCCAGAAACACTCCTTTGCCTCAGCTTTGCTAAGTTAGGTGAACTGAAAGCTGCACAATAAAAACTACAGCCTCAGGCTGTATTAGCTTTAACTACTTTCTGCTGGGTCCAAGTAAGGAAAATACCTCCTTCTCCATGCTGCACCCCTTTCCTTTGTGGCTCTGTCCCATCTCCGGGGGCCTGCATAAGAGTGAACATAGAAACAAATGAGGCCGACTCTTTTCCCCACAGACAGGATTGGTGAATGCCACGACCTTCTGCTTCGCCAGCCAAGACCACTGTGAATAATGCAGTTTTTTCAGGAAAGCAAGTATTTCACTGAACTTGCCACCTTGATTAAAATAAGAGTCTGTCTGAGGGAATGGAATTAGAAGCAATTTCATTTTGATCACTGTCCTCCCTTACACTCTGTGGTACCAACCTCTAGCACCCACATTAGGTGAAAAAACGAAGAAATACAAAGCTTAGGGAATCAACGTCTGTTTCTCAAAAATTGTAGGTATAACACTTTCAAAATTATGAAAAACAAGTATTTCCTTTCCATGGTTGTTATTTTCTGAGATCTCAGTGTTTTTAAATGTAACTCACTGATTTCGATGTCTAAATCGTATGCAGTGTTCCACACTTGGATGAAACAAAACATCAGCCGGTGATGATCCCCGTCTCATAGAGAACTCAACCACATTCTCAAATTAAATCTGTTATTAGTGCATTAGACTGCTAAGGACAACAAAACGATTTCATATTCTAAGAATACCCATCTCTGAAATGTTTTAAAATACCAAACCAAGCAATGCTATGTGCTCCTATGTAGCATTCAAATCCTCTAAAAATATGTTTTCTTGAAAAGATAATTCTCAGTCTAGACATAGACCAACAATAGATTTTGTTCAATTAAATTTCTTATATTATTTCTGATAAAGTTTCTGCTTTAGTTTTTAACTACAAGCTATAGTTTCTAATTGCTGCTCTGCTTCAGCAGCCATAGCTGCTGCCTGTAACTGTTCTGTTTCACTCTGGATGGAATTGGCTGTAGTAACTTGTTTTCTTTCACTGTGCATATTGTTCTCATGCCTTTTTAGATCAGATGCTTTAGCAAATGCTTTAGTGCAGGAACTGCAGACAAAAGGTTTCTCTCCTCGGTGTCTTCTTTCATGGTCTTTGAGGTGGGACTTGTGCTTGAAAGCTTTATCACACATATGGCATGCAAATGGCCTCTCATTACTGTGAACTCTTTCATGCTTTTTTAGATCTGGTGCACGAATGAAAGACTTTCCACATACCTCGCAACTGTAAGGCTTGTAACCTGTGTGTATTTTCAGGTGTTCTTTCAAATGAGCTTGCGTGGTGAAGCCCTTTGTACACATTTCACAAACAAACGGTCTATCAGCCGTGTGCAGCTTTTCGTGTTTCCTCAGTCGCGCTTCATCAGAAAAGGTCTTACCACAAGCTTGACATACAATGTGTTCCCTGTGACCGTAAAGCAAATACTCAAACTTCATATCCCCAGCCGCTGTGGTCCAGCCTGGTGTTTGTTCATCCTTCACTTCACTTATGCCATCATTAAATGTCAAAGCCTGAGGAGTCTGAGATCCTAAGTCTTTTGATTCAGTTGTTTCCATAGGCTCTACTTCTTGGCCATAGCAGTTTACTTTTCGAACCTCTTCACTTCCCAACTCTTTCAGAATCGCCTCTTGCACTCTCAGGGTAGTGGTAGGTGATTTTCCATCTTCCTGACTTGGGGGAGTTCCTTCCACTGTCACATCTGATGGACTATCATCATGATCTCCAATTTCTTCCACCTCATCATCTTGGGTATCGTTGGGTTCCCCCATAGGACGGTTTATTTTTAGACAGTACTTGCTTTTGGACTGTGTGTTTTCTTCAGGACTAGACACATCACGCTTCTGAGAGCAGAGTTTATCCAGAAATCGAATACCAAGAATCTGGCCTGAAGACATCATCAAATTTACATCCTCTTTTTTAACAGAAATCTTTGCAGTATACATGTAATTGAGAACTTCTTCAAAAATATCAGAACGAAGAAAATCTATTTCTATTACTGATGAACTATCAACTTCCAGTTTTTTGAAAAGCTTTTTGAAGTAGGTACTGCAGGCAGCAAGGACACACCTATGTGCTCTGAATTTAACATCTTCAACCACGATAGCTATGTCACAAAATTCCCCTTCCAAACGTTGTTCATTTAATGTTTTCAGGAACACAGTTTTGTGATCGTCGTCATTATATTTAATGGTTTCAGACATACTGATGAAAAACTCCTGTAAAATAACAAGGGAAAGTTTTGTAATTTTTAGTACAAAGTAGTCTAAGTCATAAAATCCCAAGAGCCGATGTCATTTACACGCTAAAAGAATGGCCAAATAATTTTCTTTTGTTCAATATGACCAACAAAAGCCTTTCAGATTATAAAAGCAATACTCTTAAAATTCTTTTAATGTGAATACATAAAGGTCTTTCCCTGGGTTATACATTTTGCACAGTGATTTATAAAGGATAATTTTTTACACCAATATGTTAATTTATTCAAATATTTATTGATTCAGTTATCCAAAACGGAAACTTTCTCTGTGAACTTGCAATTCCCAGTAAATGTATGATCCAACTGCAGAAGTCACTCATAGCTAAAGAAAATGTTAATACTAAAAAATGTATAAGAAATGCTCTAAACGTGTCAGCATAACAAACTAAATGTGAAATATCAAATATAAGTCTTACCATGAACAATGCAGGAAATTTTCTGTACAAATGATTATTAAATATTTGACAGATGATTACCCCTTACAATGGGCCACCTTCAGCCTGAAAGACAGGAAGATAGTAACATTTTAAGAAATTATAAAATCTATTCCAAAAATCATTTTACATTTGTGAAACAAATTTGCAAAACACAGTATTTTCAATTATTTAAAATTACACAAAACACACTGCTAAAATACCCGGTTATTTTGACTGGTTCTGCAGATGACTGCATAAATTGATCTGATAGCGCTGTCGCCACAAACCATGTGTTTACTTTCCTCTGGCTACTTCACTTCCCTGACTCCACTTTCCTGCTACTTCATCTAGAAGTTTGAAAAACCTCTACAGGAATCACCAGCTTAAATCCATTAACCAACCCGTCAAAGAGGTGATTAGTCTTCTGCTGAATTAGTGAGCTGAGCAAGCCTAGTGGAGGGTCCAGCAAGCATCCCAAGGGACAGCAGACTGGGCTGTGGATGGATGCTCATCCAGGACCAAGGAAAGAGACACCAAGGATACCAGATCTCCAAACAACAGAGACACTTGAACAGCAGAAGGATAATGCAAAACACATATTTTAAATTATTCAATCTTCCACAGGCATCTAATTGTGACAGAAGCAGGAAAGGCAGCAGGGAGGAGGGAAATTAAATATTTGGTTCAGACACCACTCTCCATCACCTGGCACAGAGCTACTGGGAACTCCTTTCCTAAATTCTAATTTATTCTTGACCGTATATGAAACCGAAGCAGCTGACAGGTATGCAGCTTCCAGTCTTGGTGCTGGGTGTTTAACATGGTATAGGAACACTTCGCTCCCAACAAATACCTTTGTGTCTCAGCATATAGAGCTACTGGCTACAAAAGAACTGAGGAAAGCCCAAATCATTTTCGTTAAGATAACCAGATAGGAAGTGTACAAATATTTCAAAGACATAAAACAAACCCAAGAAACACTGTGTATATTTTTCTGGGTGGTCGGGGTCTACCATCCCAGGAAAATGTATCAGTCCAGCACCAAAAAGGGCAGGGCAACAAACTATTTCAACAGGATCAGTTTAGAGTTCTTTGTAAACTGGGAAAAAAAAGCTGCAAACAGCAAAACGTCACTGCTACTAATCTAGCAGCAATCCCACCCTGTTTTGTTAGACAATATGCAATTCTGCTGCAATTCTGTGGAGACTTGGTGAAGGAGAACCAATTATAGGAGAAGTGACCGGGTGAAGACAGTGTTGCTGAGCACGGAGGGGTGTGCAATTGGCGAAAGAAGCACAGCTACTCCTCTGCCAGGGGAGCGGGGCAGGCACTTGCCCAGAGTACCTGCCGCACTGAGCCAAGGCAAGGGGGAAACTCCCCTTCCCGCTGGGCTACTTACTCCGCGGGGTCATTCCAATTATTCTTACACACACACACGCTGTCACACTACCGTTACCACCGCGGGAACGGGGTGGCGGAATATGTGTGGGGTTGTAACTGTTGGTGCAGCTCCCGCCGCCGTCCCAGACACGCTGGGTGCCTCGCCACGGCTGAGGGCGCACCAGTTCGGCGCCGACCGCCGTGCCCGCCACCGCACAGGCGGCCCGGGCGCACGCCTGCTCCACGCACCCGCCGGCGGGGACGCGGCGCAGGCG